CCAGATATCACAAGGACCAAAAGCATAATTTGTTGATATTCGAGGGACTAAAATCTCAAATTTCCCAATATATAATACTTCTCCGCAGCATTCCAAATTCAGCGTGTGGGAAAAGGAAAAAGAAAATTATAAAATTTACCGCGTGGAAAGTTGACTGATTGTTCTTTTCTCGTTCTAAACGCTAGAAGTTGAGTTTTAGGCTCCGGTCACATATGGATTTTAATATTTTACTATCTGTAATACAAACATTTTAATTTAACTTCTATATACTCAGGTATAGTAATTTCTTTTTTTATATTTTCAAATAAGTTAAAAGATAACAATCGATAACCATCCATAGAAAGTAAGATTAGAAACTTAAAAAATAAAGCAAATTATCTATATTCCTACGGTAACTTATTAAAATATATAGTATAAAAAAATTATTTCGTCAATATACATAAACTAAATCCCAATACAAATTTGTACAACTTTTTCTCATCTAAATTTCCTTACTTATACATTCTTCAATTAGAATGCGAGCTTTAGATCAACGATAAATCTGTCTCTGTAAGATTTATAAGTCACATGTTCGATCTATAGAATTAATCACTGATTCTTCCGTTAGAGTAGGCTGTCTTCATTACAACCTCTTAAATTGTGGTCCTTCCCTGAGCCTTACGTGACGCGGGTATATCTCGTGCACCGAAATACTTTTGTTTTTATATAATTTCTTCAACCAAGAAGGTAGGAGGAGACATATTGTTGTCTAGTTAATAATACTCCCCGTCTCAAATTATTTGTCGTGTTTCTCTTTTACACACCATTTTTATTTTTTACTGTTTTACCCTTATTTATGTTTTAAGATATAATCTCTATTCTTTTAATATTTACTCATAATTGAGGTATATGTAGTTTTCAAGAACAATTAATATTATGGGTAATATCAGAAAAAAATAATTAATTAATTTTGATTTTCTAAAATGATAAATAATTCGAGACAACTATTTTTAAAAACTACGACGAATAATTTGAGATAAAGGGAGTATTATTTACCCCTTTAAGTTTCAGTCAAATATCGATTTCATCAAACACTTGTAGAATAGTGAGTAAACTTTTCTCGAATATTTTGGTCTACATTCATATTTTACTTTGTAGTACCGTGTTGGTGACGGCAAAAATTAAATATCACATTGATGATACGTTAAATGGTTGTAGTAATTTGTTGAATATCGATACCAGTTCATTTAATCAATCTTTTAGTCCCACGTGCTATTAATTATTATCTTTTGCTTTAAACGGTATAAAATTATACTAGTATTATTTATTATTTATTATTTATATTATTTGTCTTTTAAATTTTTTACATAATTCTTAAAGAAAAATTCAATCTTGGTGATAAAAGTGTATGTCTAAAATACGCTATATATCTTCTTAAACATTTTACTTAATATCTTTTGGTAATTAAAGTTTTTATTACCAACTAGAAGTATCTACAGCTCAAAAGAGAAAACAGAATAAGCAGGCTAAAACTTATCAACGTCACCCCTACAAGCAGAGAGGCGAATCTATATTTGACAAAGAACGGTAAATCGAATACTCTTTGCCCGAAAAATTATACTGTATATAAGATAAAATATTACTTCTATTTTTATTGATAAAAAATAGACTTTAAACAACTTGTATAGCACACTTGCAAAGGGTTAATTACTGATTTTTTACTTTTTCTCGAAATATTTTTACTTTTTTTTGAAATTAGTGTTTGGCCATAAAATTTTTAATTGTCACTTAAAGATGAATTTTGGAATTCTTCGAAAATTTGAAAAACTCCAAAAAAACTATTTTTCAAAATTTTCACTCAGATCACTCATAAAATTTCAAAAATAACCCAAAATTATATTTATGTCTAAACACAACTCTAATTTTTGAATATCTTTTTCACTTAATTTTTTTTTTTAATTTATTTTACAATTCTTATGTCCAAATGCCCTATTGCCCACGTAACCTAACTAGGATAGGAATTGAAATACTGCAACTTCCTGGCTAGTTTAGACTTCACGCGTCGTCAATAAAATTGACTTGAATAGCCAATCCGACGAAATTTTATACATTCTGAAAGGCTATATTTGTAAAGGGTGGGCTATCTAAAGAATTGTAGGATTCGATATAGATGTTTATAACAGGTAACGGAAAACAATAACAATTTTAGAAAGATTTTTTCGTGTTTAAAATTTATTTACATGTCAAAGATAGAATCTAAGACGTAGCTAGGAAAGAAAGTCTCGTTTCAAAAAATATTTGATAGCGCAAAGACTCTATGCGTATTCACACCGAGACTGATTTGTGCTATCAACTCTGTGATAAATGAAACCTGCGAACAAATTGAATGAAAATATTGTGGTGAAATTTTTCTCAAAAATTCCAACTCAAATGTAAAAGAACAAGAAATAAATTTTTTATAATGATATTTTCTCTCTTGACTTTGTATTGCACTCTCACTTTCACAAAGTGATTTTCTTCTTAAGAATTACTACAGCGAATTTTCTCCATCGCCCTTTAGCATCACCTATAAACCATTTTACTATTTGATTGATGTAATAATTTACTTAAGATTAAAAGTTTAATTTTAAAATAAACTTCGTGGAATTTTGTGTGGCTGCCGAATCTTATAGACTTTTCATATAGTCCAATTCCACTATCCTATTGAAAACATGAAGATAGGAAACCCATGGAATGGGTTTGAAGTTGTCAAACGCATCCTTTGTGAAACTTCATGTTAGGTCCAACTCCAAATTGGAGTACTTTGCCAACAAGTCCTTTTATGGACTTTTATCTCCAATTTCAAATTGCTAAGAATAAATTAATATTATATATAACCTTTATATAAATCAATATTAATTGATATGATATATATATATATATATATATTTCAACCAAGAGAAATAATTAATTTTCTATTCCAAATAGAAAACTTCAGTTTGTTCACAATATTAATTTTATCATCTGTGCTAGCAAAGAATATAATAATATTTCATTTGGACTAATAACTAAATTTATTTGACTAATCAAATTTTTTAATTTAATTATCAATTAATAAAGTAATTAATCCTTTGGCAAAGATCAGAATACTCATTAGTGTGCTACCCAAAGGTTCAATACTAAGCCGGAAGTAAACTGATCACATCAATATACTAATCAAGGGTGGCGTCTAGCAACACTCCTTAACGGCTGGATACAATGAAGTATACAATTTACTCTCAAGAACCCATAGAAGAAAAATGTAATAATTTCTTCTGTCCTTATAGTTCTTTGTCACCCTAGGATATGGTTAAATTGTCAAATCTCAATAGGCGACCAACTGTGTTTGTGTCAAATATAATTGACTATAAAATGACCTAAGAAACTCTTTTCTTCTTTTATTCAATTGCTCTGGCCAAGGTCTTAATTTGGTCGTTTATAATTCATGACAACATGGAGCTTAAACTCATTACCAAGCGTCGAGAGATTCCATCTTGATCAATCACTAATTCTACAAGTATTTAATCGTACTCAATATCCTTTCAACTATCGCTCTAGGGCCATATGTGTCTAGTATCAAAGCACAATAAATAACTTGCCAATTACTATGACGATCTCAGGTCAAAGGAAATAACTCTTACATCACATTCTTCAAGAGAATATCTTATTGACAGTTTATGGTAATTCTAACCATTAACAATTATCCAATGAGTCGGTTCAATGATCATATCTCTATATGCATCATCTCTTTATGTGGTTTAGTTAACGAGATCAACTAATCTTTATCTCATAAAAACGATCACATAGATATTGATCTAACCGGATTACTAATGTCCAAATTAATAATCATACGATCAAGAGTAAATTTAGATTAAATTATAAAAAACTTCACTCTTATTATCATGATCTCCATCACAATGTCAAGTCTAAAATTTAATCAAGGACCTTATCAAGTTAATCAAATTAATAATAATTTTGATAAAAGAATATCAGACGACATATATATTTTATATCAAATAACGTTCGTAAAAAAATATTCATATCATCAAATATGAGATTGGATCTAGGACATATTTACTATATCCCTAACAAAAATATCGAGTCGATGCGAAGAGAACACACAATTACATACATATTCTTTAGAATAATCCCATCTTAGGAGTCAATATAGCCTGTTTGGCTAAAAATGCATTTTGTTTTTCAAAAGTGATTTTTCCAGAGTTAAAGATGTTTGTCCAAGTTTTTAGAAGGAAAAATATGCTTTTGAGCAGAAGTAGAAGTAATTTTTGAGAAGTAAACAAAAGTAGCTTCTAATCAAAAGCACTTTTTTGAAAAGTACTTATGCGAAAAATAAACTTATAAGTAATTTTTAAAAGTTTGGCTAAACAGTAATTATTACTCAGAATTAATTTTTAAATTAATTAGTCAAACACAAACTATTTTTCACCAAAAATACTTTTTCAAAAAGCACTCTTCAAAATAAGTTAATTTTAGAAGTTTGGTCGGCTAGTAATGTCAAAGAGAGAAAACTAGAAAGGGACAAATTAAAGCACACCTTATTACACAATTAATAAAAGTACTTATTGACCATGCTAGAAAACTAGAAAGGATTTATAAACTAGAAATCCTCAATTGCTCTCACTACATCACTTTTGATCATTGACCATGCTCTTTTGAACAAACAAGAATTATATCCATTCACTCCTGGGGCTTTATCTTCATGTAGCACACAGTGCTGCATATATCTCTTCCTTTGTTACTTCCATACATAAGCTTAGTTGTTGTTCATGATTGAGCTTAGGTCCATTCTTCATAGTTCTTTTGTTGATAGCAGGCAAAGATGCATCAGCAGTTCCCATCAAGCTCTTATAGAATTTAACTATCTCTTCCTTAACACTCGTGGGAGTAGCCAATTTTAATCTATCATCAGTGTAGATCTCTAGTATCTGCTTTCTTTGACTTCTCTCTTTCATGACAGCAGAGAAGTACTTAGTATTAGCATCTCATAGCTTGATCCATTTTACTCTAGCCTTCTGTTTGAGAATATTTTCCTCAATAAGTGACCATTTCTCCAAGTTCTGTAGGATAGTCTTCTCTTGTAGCAACAAGGATTCTGAATATCGTAGCCTCATTTCCTCCTGAACTTGAATAAGGTCAGCCCTATCATTGTCAATTCTCTCAGCAATGCCTTTATACTCAGCAGTATTAAGGCTTTTGAATATAGGTCTTAGAGCTTTCAGTTTCTTCCAGATGTTCTCCATTTGGTCATCAGCTTCCTTTCTTCTCCACAGAGTGCCAACATTTGTATCAAACTCATCATGAGAAACCCATACATTAAAAAACCTAAAAGGAGTTTTAATGTTAAGTTTCACAGTTTTTATATTGACAAACATTGGTGAGTGGTCAGAGATTAAAGGTATATCATATTCTGTGTGCACATGTCCCCAGTTCATCATCCAGTTATCATTGCCAAAAATCCTATCAATTCTGCTCACAATCCTTTCTGCTCCTTGTTGATTATTGGACCAGGTATAGTAGTCTCTTTTCCATGGTAGCTCATTTAGTAGCAAATTGTGTATGCAATTAGAAAAGTCAGTTATTTCATTCAGTGTCACAGGGTTGCCATACATCCTGTCTTGTGTATATAGCATAGCATTAAAATTACCCCTATCAGCCATGGTTTGTTTGTGTGTGCAGAGATATCATCCAGACTTGTCCATAGTTCCTTTCTTTGATCAACTGTACTAAAGCCATATACCAATGTTAGATATGATTCAAATCAATCCAATATGCCTTTAACTAGGCAGTGTATAATCTGAGCCTCTACTCTTTCAACATCAACACTATATACATTTGGATCCCAGGTGAGCCATATTCTGCCATGCACAACTTTCTGATAATTACACTGCAGAGCGCATCCTGGCAATATGTTTTTATAAACTCTCTTCATATTTGGTTCTTTGACTCTTGTCCCAAGCAATCCAGCTAGTTTAATATGTTTACTCTTCATGTATGTTAATAGCTCTTTCTGCTTGTATCTCTTGCTTACATCCCTAACATTCCACACCAACCAAGTCATTGAGATAAACAGGGAGGCCTACTTTCTACTATAGGTAGGTTATTATTACTCTTTAATCCACATGGTATCTCTGAAGTTCTAGTATTCCTCTGTATGCTAGCTGCCAGAGCTGGAAATTCTCTGGGACAACTAAGCTTAGGGCTTTTATTCTCTTGCTCCTCCACTCAGATGTTTTCCTTAGCATGTTCCTTAATGCTCATCTGGTCCTCCCTGATAAGCAAAGTCATCTGCCTTTGATCAGTTTTCTGTTGATAGTGCTCATCAGCTGTAGCTTTGGTAGTCACCATAACCTCAATTGCCTTATCAGTCTTGTCACTAGCTGTTTTTGTTCTCCACTCCTGCTTTGGAGGTCCACCATCTGTATGTGTTGGATGAGCATTTTCTCTTGGTCTTCTCCTTCTCCTTGGCTGCATATAGGTTTGGTTCTCAGCTTCTTTTTGCTTGCAGTAGTGACATATTTTTAGGCAAACCTCACAGAATTCTAGTTTCCAAACATATTCAATCGATTGTTCAAATTGTCTTCCATCTGGTTCCCATACTAAGACACTAGTAGGAAGAGGCCTTGTAATATTATTTCAATGAACATACGAGCATAGGAAATCTTTTTTTGTTTTGAGGTACACTCATCAGCATACAGTGCTTTCCTTATTGCACTGGAAATCCTACTCAGTGATTTACCTCCCCAACAACTCATGGCAAAATTTGATCACATCCAACTATGCCTTATAAAAATGACTAAGCGGTCGTTACAAATATAATTCGGTTTACAAGTCCGGAGTCGAATCCCACAGAAAACTAAGCCTCAGCTACAGTTGTTCCATATCGCTAAGAAACACAAGTCCAAATAATTTTTTAATTATAAAGATTATAATATTTATTTTTCTCTAATTAACTAACAAATACTAGAAAGCAGTAAAACTATCAATTAACAAGGATAAGGATTGGATACAAGATTAAGGAAGTCTAGAGTTATGATTTTCCCTGTTGCCGGAATCCTTTCCGCTACATTTCCTATAAATTTGCCTAAGTTTTCTCTACCGATCATGAGCGCTCTGAGTATCGTAATTCTCTTCCGAGTAACTACCATAATTTACTAGACATATTCTTCCAAACTACGCTAGCTGGCACTAATTTACGGCTCACTCGGATCGCACCAAAGTTTCATTATCCCTAATCCTACCTTTAAACCCTTCGTATTGATCCCTCATATACGTTAGGAGTGATGTTGTTCAACAACTAACTAAATATGCACTCTCTCCCGAGTAATACACACAAAATAGGCACAGTCGATTGAGAGCTCTTCAACTAACCACAATATAAACGTAGTTGAACAAATAGAGAAAAAGCTACAGCAAATCTATATTAACGTAACAGGAAAATCATCCTCCAATAGGTTCCATCAAAACCCTAGATAACAAATTAGCTATTCATAATAGGATACATAACTACAATACTAGAATTCATAACTAATAATGGAAATAGGAAGAAGGAAGTAAAAAACTCGTAGAAGAATTCCCCGCCTTGCTCCTAGCGTGTTCTTGCCTCCTTAGGTCAAATCCCTGTCCAATCTCTCTCTCCCAAATTGGTGTTTAATGACTATTTATATGTGTAGGAAAAAGTCTTAGACGAAATAACCAAGTCCAAAACCAAAAAGGAGACAAAATAGGTCTCAAACCCGGAACACGCATCGCCTCACGTTAACCGTGGCGGCGCGAGCTCTAAGGCGAGCAAACTCCCTCGCGTCGCCAGGCTCTTTGCTGTTTTGTTTCTGAAATTGATTTTGCTACCTAACTTCACATTCTCTTTCTCAATTCTTTCTTCATTTCACATTAATTTGCTTGTTTCTTTTTGTCTTCTTTTAATTTGTTTTGTCTTCTTTTCATTTTGTCTTCAATCATTGTTTCATTATTTCATTATAATATTTCCCATCATCAAATAATCACGAGCCATCCTTTTAGTGCATAAAATACACATAAAATCTCTACTTTGCTCCCAATTTCGTCTTCAACGTACCTACACATAAAATAGACTCAATTAAGCATAAATATAGTATAATTTAGCATTAAAGAACCTAAATTTAAGGTAAGTAATGCACTAAAAATATATAATTATAGCCACACATCACTACCCCACACTTAAACGTTGCTCGTCCTTGAGCAATCAAACTACACTTTATATTTACCACATTTGAAGCACACTACCAATGACCATGGTTGATAGAAATAATTTAACTCTAGCATATGTAATCACATACACTTCTCTTTTCTTATGGCATACTTCAAAACATTCACAACAACTACCACATGCTTGTAACAATCCTAGCCTCAAAAACAGACTCAAAAGTCACAATGTACTCATGACTTGAATACCCAACAACCTAGAGAAGTCTAATAATGTTACTTATCCCTCATGAAATTATGTGCCATCACAACAAGACAAAAGAGTAAGTTGAATCCACACACTTAAATCAAATGCTCAAATATATTTTAAAGACTCATATATATCAAAGAAAATCTCTCACTCTCACAAAAGAAGTCACATGCATGCAATTCGCACCATAAGCTTTCCCTTAATGTAAATCTCTACTAATGTAAGTTTGTTCGATCTAAAATCAATTAGGCCTTTTTCATGGTTGTAATATGGGCTAAGGGACGGGTAGGATATATTTAAGAAATATTGACGCACCCTCCTAAGCACTTTAACACATCACATAATAACTTTAAGCGCAAATTCCTCAATCCACTTCAATTTCACAAACAAAATCATCCTTAACAACGTTCCCTCTTTCTTTAGGCACTACTTTAATTCATACTCACTATCAAGAACAAGATATCAATTTATTCACCTAATTATTTTTTCTTTCTTTTATAATTTTTACTAGTGGTGTATTCTTTTACCAAAGAAGTGCACCTTTCTTCTTTTCATTGGTTCCACTCAAAAGCCACCACACACTTAATCTTTACTTATTCTAACGACCATTTCACAATTAAAGTGCTTTAAGAGGCGAACGGATCAAAACAATATCAATTAAGAATAAAAAAGGTATAGGCTTGTAATGTGGATGCCAAATAAAAGTCTATAGGTTCAATAGGGTTAACTGGGGATATATTTTATTTATGGTAAACAATAAGCTCAATAAAATCAAAGAAAGTCCAAAATCATTTTTCAAATCGAGCATCACCTAAAATTTTACTTCGACTCACATACGGGGAAAGTTCTAGACTCAATCACAATGACATGGACTACACAAAAACTCACTTCACACGCGGCACATGACTCACTAAGGATGGTCTCATTCTAACTCTCAAGCAAGGCAAGTATTCACGAAGCCACGAGATATTAAGCATTAAGCACAAAGTGAACATAAGTCAAGAAAATGATCCGTGGGCGTCACAAAATATGCTATCCAACTAACCAAGGCATCATAAGCAATTTTAGCTCATAGGGAAGATACTACACATGGCAAAGCTTAAATATGCTACTATCAAACAAGTCAAGAATCTCATCTTTCTTCCTCCATTTATTTTCTAAATTCTAATATACTCTAAAAAAAATAAAAGGAAAAACTACTACCCGGTTCAAATTACATCCCATGAAAAAGAAGCGAGACACAAAGAAAAATCACGGGGGATTATTACTACCTAAAAAAAAAATAAAAAGACATACTTTTGTATTATTTTTTTATTTTTCAAATTTTTTTTGCTAGATTTTAATCCCTCAAGAAAACTGTCTAGGAGATCCATCCTCAGGAAAAGTCCAATATTTTTCATTTTTTTAAAAAACAAAAATAAAAATTATTCCATTAAACTAACACAACTAAAATAGCATAGAAAGTCACCCAAACAATCTCCCCATCCCACACTTAAAATTGTACATTGACCCCAATGCACACCCATAAATACAAGAGGGTAAAAGAAACTCCCTGGTAGGCCAAAGGCCGAAAAACTAGCAGCTCAGGGGGTAGTCAGACTTCTCCCAGGCCTGGTCCTTCGTGCGGGTACCTCACACTTAGTTCCAACCATCTGATTTGCTGTTACATCCTTCCAATGGCTTTGCTTTTCATGCTCCTAGAAAATCAAGAATCGACACTACGAGAATAATACAATAATAATAAATAAATAATAAAAAAAGAAGTAAAGCTGGGTTGCCTCCCAACAAGCGTTTGATTTAACGTCGCGGCACGACACGAATTACTTTCTGCCTCCACCTCGAGCTTATGAATTGAACCCCAAGTTTTGATTCCGCTCTATGATCATGCTCTTGGGGCGATACAAATTGTTGCGAGCCAAAAATTAAATGATTCTTTATGCACTTTTTGGCTTTCAACCGAGGAGTGTCACTTTGCCTAGACGACCTTGAAAATTTTAGAATATAAAGCTCATCTACCTCTTCCTTTGACTCCTGCATTGGCTCATACAGGTCAATTTCCATTTCACCATCTGAACATAATGTAGAGAAGTATTTGGAATGAGGACCAATGCGCTCAAACTGAAAATTTAACTTGTTATCGACCTCCTCTTCTTGCCACAAACTAGAATCAATTAAAATTATATCTGTAAGGTCCTCAGTTGATTCCAGTACCACTTCTTCAACATCGAC